GGGTTCGAACCGGTAGTGACCCCCCCCGGTTTTCCGCCAGCAGCGGTAGCACACGCTCTTTCACACATATATATATATATATATAGAAACATACAAACATACATACAGACATTGCACAGCATCTATTGCAAAGACGACAAGCGGTAACGAGGCGGCGACGAAGAAATTACAGCGTGAACATATCCGCCGAACCAGCGCACCGGCCCAGACGAGGGGCCGCGACGACGCGGCGACGGGGCGGCGACGGTGACAACATAGTCGCCAGACCACCATACGGGCCCAGACGACGGGCGGCGACGAAGCGGCGACGGGGCGGCGACGGCAACAACATGGCCACCAGACCGCCACACCAGCCCATACGACGAGCGGCGACGAGGCGGCGACGGGACGGCGACCGCGACAACATAGCCGCCAGACCGCCACACCTGTCCAGTTGCTTGACACAAAAATGAAAAACCCTAAGTGCAAGCACTGTTTGGGCAAGAAGCAAGAAACCCTGAGTACAAGCAATCTGTTGGAAATCGTCACCATAATCCCATGCGACCGCCTTCTCGAGCCTGCGGAAGAGCCTGTCACATGCAACGGTATGAAAGAATGCGGTCAAAAGCTGTAGCAAGATACGGATTTCTGGGAAAGCCCAGAAGGATCGCCACACAAGGCTCCACGCTGGCACGATGGCGAAGATTTCTGCATGCAGCTGGACAGTGGACTGAGGTCAAGAATTGTCACAAAGAAAGGACGCGACCAAAGGCCACGCGGCAATGAGGCTACCAAGCAATGATGCCAGGTCACGACCTCTTCAGGCAGTTGCAAGCCTTTGGCAATGAGAGCATGATCTACACTTTTTCGCCGCAGCAACGTGAGTCCTCGCCAAGCTCGGAGGCAGCATTGGGATACACGGCACCGAATAGGGCACACGGGGCGGCGGAAGGAGGAGGGGCGTGCGCGTAAAAAAGGGGGGAGCAGGCTCAGGACATCCCCAATCATAGCTTGCCTATGTAGGGGTCCGAGCGGATTCATATGGTTAGGAGAAGTGTGGCGCCGATTTCGGCGGCACGCCCGGGTGCCCGGGTGCCCAGGTGCCCGGTAGCCCTATAGCCCTATAGCCCTATATAGCCCTAATAGCCTTAAAGCCCTATGGCCCTATAGCCCTATACCCCTAATAGCCCTATAGCCATATAGCCATATAACCCTATAGCCCTATAGCCATATAGCCATATAGCCTTATAGCCTTATAGCGCTATAGCCCTGTAGCCCTACAGCCCTATTATCCCTATAGCCCTATAGCCCTATAGCCCTATAGCCCTGTAGCCCTATAGACCTTATAGCCCTATAGCCCTATAGCCCTATAGCCATATAGCCCTGTAGCCCTATAGCCTTATAGCCCTATAGCCCTATTGCCCTATAGCCCTATAGCCCTATAGCCCTATAGCCCTACAGCCCTATTATCCCTATAGCCTTAATAATCATATAACCCTATAGCCCTATAGCCCTATAGCCCTATAGCCCTATAGTCCGAAAAGATTATGATTGGGGCGTTTCTGCGGTATCATGGAGTTTGTAGCCCACAACCGCACTGGCTGTAAAGAAAGATGAAGAGCGAACATGATGATGACCGTGTGCCTTTGGAAGCGGTGCCCAAGGCACTCACAAAAGGAACTGGCAGTGTGAAAGTGTATAAACGCGCGTAGCGCAATGGGTGACCTGGGGGATGACAAAAGTGACGAAGGGAAGATGAACTGGCTGTGGCTCAAAAACAAAAACCTGTGCGAATTGGGATTCGCGCGATTCGCACTCCCATCAACTGCCGATTGATCACCTGGCAACCCACTTGTGCCACAAGAAGCGATGACGATGTATTGACACCCCGAGCTAGCATAATGAAGACCTTGCCGCCCCGACCACACAAACGACTGAAGTAACGACAATCCTTGTCGGCATCGAAGCGGAGGTTGAAAGTCCACGCGCCCTTGAGGGTCCCGCTGGCACTGGCCACCTCTTGCAACGGGTGGCACTCGAACGCAAAAATATGCCACTTCACTTGCGGTAACCTGAACACGTCCGGCAAACATGACGTGACGGCACACACGCAAAACATCAAATGGCTACCTCGTTAGACGTGAAAAGTACAATACATAACAACGGTTACAAGGCTGGATTCGGAAATCATGTTCACACTGGCCGTGATACTACGTATATCTTGAAGATCTACCGTACACCCGCGGGCGACTGCCCGTAGATCCCCGATCTGAAAGGATCCGCCGCAATTTGTGGACGCTCGGAGACGTTCAACCCCCTTTGCTGAAGGCAGACATTCCTTCGACACACGACATGCGCATGGGTGGTTCCAGCTAACGTGTTCACACTCACGCGAAGGCACAAAACTCAAGCTGCACAAATATCGAATGGTAGGCGAGCATTACAGTTGCAACTCGCTCTGTAGAATCCTGGCTGGACACTGGGCAACTGAGTCTCGCTTCGCTGCTGGAGCACACGAACTTGCAGTAGAGCGCGAAGCCACTCTGCAGTGCCAGCAATACAAGATCTTCGCCCACCTACACCGTCAGCGATGGCAAGAGGAGAGGCGGCGGGGCATCGACCGCAACGCCGAACTGAATGGGCCACAAGAAGTCGACGTTCTCGCGGAGGGCCTGTCGCTGCGGGGCGCTAGCAGGGAGCGACCGACATTCGGCTACACGCAGGAGTGACCCTGGGTAAAAGTGACCTTTGGTGCGCAGCTTTTTGGGGGCCGCGGGGGGACAAAACACAGGCGCGCAAGGCACTACTATCGCATCGCGTTCGGCGATCGGGGGGCCCCACAGGGCCCGCACCAAAGGTCACTCCGGCGAAAGGTCACTCTTGCGTCTAGTCGAGACATGCCAGCAGCGCGCGCCCCCCGCCGGCCGCCCGGCCGCGCTAGCACGTAGGCGCCCCGCCTGGTAGCGCTCGCCCTTCGCGCAGACGCGCGGCTCCTCCTGTGCGAGCCCGCCGCCGTTGCTCGCTGACTGCCTCGACGTTGCCCCCCTCTGCAGCATAGGGCCCCCCCCTCGCTCACCCGCCATACACCATCCCCCTCCCACCTCGCCAGCCCCCCTTCCTGGCCATCCCGCCTCCCTTGGGGAGGAGGATGAAGTTGATAACGACCATCTTTGCAGCGCAATCCTCCCTGCCGAATGAGGTAAATCATGACGTCCGCACGTCCTCGATACTCCACCCTGCTCGTCTGCGTGTCACCCCCTTCTGGGGACGACGTGCTTGCTCGTAGCCCAGACTACTACGCCAGTGGGGGCGGCCGCATGCGCCCAGCTCCTCGTTTCAGCACCGCCCTCAGAAAATTCGCGCCACTGATTGGACCCCGACTACGATTTCATTGCGCGCGGGCGCGTGTGCTCACCCACCGATTATGACCCACACGCCCCGAAAACTGGGGTCTCTGCGAAGAATGTCCCAACAACGGCGCCAGTGGGCGCGATCGCTTGCTGCGCCCACCGAATCATTTCGCCACACGGCTGACAGAGCTCGCACCCCAGAGAAACAACAAAGGCGTCCACCTGTCTTTGTGGCACAATCCTGATCAACGTCCCGTGCCCCGATTTCGGCGCCACCGAAAGCACTCGCATGCACCTATTCGCTCACCCCGACAAGGCATATATACATGTATATATATATATGTATATATATGACACATGCGTACATGCACACATCATCCCATACCTTCGTACATACATGCGTACGTGTATGCATGCAGATATCCGTGCATACATACATACATACATACACATATACATTCATACTTACATACATACATACATACATACATGCATGCATGCATATATACATGCATACATACATACACACAAACATACATACACACAGTCGTGTGTACATATAAATGTATATATGTGTGTGTATGCCGGCAAACCGACTGACATACCTATATACATGCATACGGGCATGCATACATGCATGCAGACATGCACACACGCATACCTACATACATACATACATACATACATACATGCATGCGTGCATGCATGCATGCATACATACATGCATACATGCATGCATGCATGCATACATACAAACATACATACACACAGCCGTGTGTACATGCATATATATATGTATATATATATATGTGCGTATACCGGCAAACCTACTGATATGTCTATATACATGCATGCATGCATGCATACATGCATGCCTATATGCACGCACGCATACATACATACATACATACATACATACAGACATACATACATACATACAGACAGACAGGCATACATGCATGTATGCATGCATGCATACATACATACATATACACTAGAACCATCGCGCGCTTTGCGCGCGCTCAAGTTCTAGCCAGGCTCGGCAGGCTAACGCATGGAATATTAATTGTTGAAGTGCCTTGTGCACCGAACAACCTTTCGGAGTTCCTGCGCAAGTCTTGGACGCGTCCAGGAGGTGAACTGCAGAAACTGTTTTTTTGTGACATCAACGCCACGCCTCCAAAACCTTGGACTGACCAAGGAAACGAGCCAGCAGCGGAGGGGGATGCTGGCACCTTGACCAAGGCAAACGCCTGGGTCACCGCGCAAAAGAAACAGCACGACGAGAGGTCGAGAGGACCACTGTCCACGTGCCCAAGCTCAAAGCGCACCTGCCACTACATCTCTACGAGAGGGGGCAGGCACACTGGGCCACAGGAGGGCACAGAGCTGTAAGCGCAAAAACTTCCCACTGCAGAGAACTGCAACTGGAAGGCTCTCTCGTACCGACTGCCCTCGGCTGAACAAGAGGGACTGCGAACAAGACAGCGCCCCTCCACAAGAGCCTGTGGCTCCAGGAGGTGGAGGGCAAGACGGAGGGACGAGCAACGTACACACGCACGAAGACGCGCGCCCAACGCCTACCAAAAAGATGTTGGGGCCAGGAACCAAAGCTCCAGGCCACAGCAACATCAGACGAGCCACAGTCAGGATAAAGATACCCCCGTGCTCGGACATGCAGAGGCGCACCCTAGGTGTGCATGCACCTTCCCCCAGGATTGGGGTGCCTGACACGCGTGCACGACGGACGCACGCACAACGAACTGCACACAACCAAGCAAAGAAGAAGATTCGACCACCCACAAAAGGACGACGAGCCCGCAGTCCCTGGTGCAGCCAGCGCCAGGACGACATACGGTCACGCCCCAAATGTGGGGTAAAGCACGGATGCCTGCCAAAAGGGCCAGCCGCATCGGGTCGTGCAGAGAAAAACGAGACGGCGAACCCTCGCCACTGGGAAAACTCGACCACCCACACAAGGACGACGAGGTCCGAAGCCGCTGGTGCAAACAGCGCCAGGACGACCTCAGTCTCGCCCCAGATATGGGGTTCAGCACGGATGCCTGCCAAAAGGGTCAGTCGCATCGGGCCGTGCAAGCAAAGAAACTAGATGGGCCGCCCTGCGCCACAGAAAATCAATCTGAACTATCCGACTCATCCTGGCGGCGTCTCGCCAAATCATACATGTCTTCGAAATGTTCGATGATTTGGGCCCTCGCAGACTTATTGGGATCTTTCTTCGGTGATGGCGGGGGCCCTAATTATGGTCTGTTGTGCAAGAATAAGCAGGAGTGCGCTTGAAACAAAGGAAATGTTGAAATTCCCTTGTTTAAACTGCCATGTCTAGGCCGTGGGTCAGAAGCTTCCAGGATACAGGCCATAGTCTGTTGGGATTGCCCTCGGGGCCTTTTTGGCGGCGTTTTGAAAGTTTTTCGGGGCCTCTTGGGGAGCTCTTGGTGCCTCCTGGGAGCCTCCGAGGAATCTCCGCAGGCATCTGGGGGGCGCCTCGAGAACCTCTGGGAGAACCTCGGGGCCACCTCGGGGCAAATCGCTCGTCAGGCTTTGAAAGGTCCCCTTTTTTGTCCCTCTCTTGGCCCGCGCGCGCACGCTGACGCGAGCTACGCTGGACAGGTGAACTCCCAGAAACAGACCATGGTTTGTTGGGAGGAAGTTTGGAGGCCGCTGGGGAGCTGTTTGGGAGCCTCTTGGGGCCACTTTTGGGGACTCTTAGGGCCTCCTGGGCGCCTCGTGGACGTTGGAGCGGAAAGCCAGGATTGTTGACTTGCGTTCCCCCTGTTGGGCGACTATTCGGGCCCTCTTAGGGCTCTCTTGGGCTGCCTCGGGGCGCTCCTGGGCCGTCTTTTTTTTTCAAGCTCAAGTTAATGTGAAGGGGAGCCCCAAGTTCCCGTAGGCATGCAGAAAATTGGTCTCCTTTCTGCGGTCCAGGCGGCGCCAGAGCATCGCTTCGCTCGGATCCTGGAAACCGTGTAGAGCAGCTACCTCACAGAAACATAATCGTCAAGGGGTTGGAGACCACGAGCAAAGCGGAAGTGCTGATCACATATGTGCCGTTACGGGCCGGCATGCAAGAAAAGCGCAAAACTGCACAGTGCTTCGGGAACCATCACTGTAGCCTTTGTTTCCAACGAGGTGCGAAGGGGGAGCTGCGCAATTTGAGCGAAAGGGCGGGCAGGGGGAACGGCGATGGAGGGGAATGGAGAGAGAGGTGCTACAGGAACAAAGCGATGCGATACTCTGGCTCACAATCTAGGGGGTCCGTGATGGATCGAGCCCCTCTGAACCTGCTTTGAAACTGGGCCGCTTTGGGCCGCTTCCGTCCAACTGGGACGGGCGGGTCAGCGTTCCGCGCTTGAACTTGACCCCGAGGCTTTCTCCGGCAGGAGCTCTTCCTCCTGACCCTCGCCCGCGTCGGCCGGCGTCTGGGCCGCGCCCCAGCGCCCGAGCGCCACCGCGGCCCCTCCGAACACGGCGACAGCAGCTGCTCCGAGGGCCGCGAGAGCGGCCGCCACCGCGGCCCCTGAAGACCCCCGCCCGGCCGACCCCGGGCCGTCCGTCAGGAGCCTCGCACCGCCCGCCTCCTCCCGGGCCTCGCACGCCGCGCACGAGCTGCACTCGTTCGCCACGATCTCCTGGACCTTGCTGCAGCTGACCTCCGCGCTGGGGTCCGAGCTGTCGCCGCCAGCGCCGAGCTCCACGAGGGCCTGCTGGAAGAGCTCGCAGCACGATGTGCCGTCGCACTCTGCCAAGAAATCGCTCTCCGTGCACTCGATCTCGCAGCCACTGCCCCGGCGCTCGCACGCCGGCTCCGCAACGGGATCCGTGACGGGACCCGCACCGTCACTGCCGGGGCACGGAGGTTGGACGGCGTCGTCGCCCTCGCACTTGCAGAAACGTTGAACAGATCCCCCAGCAGTCCTATGACATTCCGCCGTCGTGTACTCGACCAGCTCAAAGCAGTCGCCTGTAGAACCATCGGGCTCTGGCATGTAGTTTGGAGCAATTGAGTTGGTTGTTTTCCATGTGGCACACTCGAGGCAAATCACGCTGGCCACATCTTTCTGCGATATCGTCTCCGTAGTCCAGTCAAGGTCGACACAAGTCAACGACACGGCGTTACAAGTTTCTGTGCACGTAGCGCCTTTCTCGGCAAGGTACCACACCTCCGTGGCCCTGGAGACGGCCAGCGCGGCAACTGCGATTATCTTCGCAGCAAAACCCATGGGTCTGAGGCTGCTGGAGCCGAGGGGTACGATGACTCTCGGCGCGGTCTCAAAAACGCTTGAGAGCCTTGAGCCAAAATGGCTACGGAGGGGCGCTCCTGGGCCGTCTTGGGGCCTTTTTGGCCCGTCTTGGAGCCGGCTTAGGGGCTCTTGGGCGGCTTGGGGCGGTCTTGGGGGCCTTTCTCGGCCGTCTTGGAGTGTTGAAAGCTCGAAGGCGCGAAAAGGGAAAAAAACATATAAAAACAATGATAATCACAATGATAATCAGTGTCTTTGGCCTCTTCGGGCGCTCCCAGGACGCCGCTCGGAGCTCTCTTGGGGCCTCTTGGAGGCCTCCTGGGAGTATGGAGAGCCGCCGGCAGTCTGTCTCGGGCTGCTTGGGAGCGTCGTGGGCCGTCCTTTCGCATTCTGGGGGCTCCTTGGGGCCTGTCTGGGAGGCCCAGGGGCGCAGTACCGGGAGTTGCCCCCAGAGGTCACGGAGGTGGCGGGCGCTCCAGGGGGGGGGGAGGGCGTATGTGTATTACATATCATATGAAATAATTTGTATTACACATACACACATACATAGATACTCTTATAACATAACAGAAAAAGCGCAAGCTCAAAAACCGTACATGCTAAAAATGTACTTTCCCCAATCGGAATTTAATGATTTGGGCCTCTTGGGTCCCTCTTGGGAGTGCTCTGGGAGTCCTCCTGGGCCGCATAGGGCAGCTCGGGACTTTCTTGCGCCGTCTTGGGGGCCTCTTGGAACCCTCTTGGCTCGTTTTGGCACCCTCTTGGCCTCTCCGGGCCGCCTCTGGGGAGCGAAACGGGGGGGTCTCAGCGGGCTTCCGCCGATGGTTGCGGGGTCGGCCGGCCGAGGCCGAAAGGGGGGTCGATATATATATATATATATATATATATATATATATATATATATATATATAGAGAGAGAGAGAGAGAGAGAGAGAGGGAGAGAGAGAGAGAGATATATATATATATATATATATATGGTAGCCCCCCCCACATGATCATACATATTCGTCTTTACCGCGGCCGCCGATCGATATCTTCTTTCTCCGTTCCCTTCTCCTGTCTCTTCCTTTCTCTCCTCCTCCTCCTCCTCTTCCTCCTCCTCCTCCTCCCCGTGCTATTCCTTCTCGGAATCATCGAAATCGTCAGAAACTAAGGAAAACCTGCAAAAACCAAAAAAATGATTTCTGGAGAATGTCTGGTACGGCTGGCGGCCAAAATTCGCCAGAAATCGTATTTTTTTTGTGTGGGGGGTGGTTTTTTCGCCTCCTCCTCCTCCTCCGCCTCCACCTTCTCCCTCCCCCTCCCCCTCCACTCCTTCTCCTCCTCCTTCCCCTCTCCCCCTCCTCCGTTATGCCGCCGGCCGTCAGCATGAGGGTAGGTACTGCAATTCCACCGATTGCTATCCAATCTGTCGCAACCGTTGCGTTGCTATGTTTCCAGGCGGAGCGCACGCATAGAGGTTTACAAAAGATGGTGGTTCATACGTGCGCGCACGCATCGCACCGACTGCCATCGGCTACGACTGCGTCGCGCATCATGTGCGCTCGCACGGCGCGGCCGCCTCCTCAGTCAGCCTCGCTGCGGCGCGCCGTCGCCGACTCAGAGGGCGGTTCCCCCTCGTCAATCACGCGCGCGAGCTCTGCCGACAGACCGTCGTCATCCTCGACGTCGATCGTTTCACCGTGGGCCGAGGCGGCAATGGAAGCGAAGATCGCCCTCTGCTCATCGGCATCCACGGGTGACAACGGACCACCGCAGCCCATCATGAGCCCCCTCGCCCTCTTCACTGGCGGAGGCGAGGACAAGTCCTCGAACGCGCCGTGGTGCGCCTTGGCGAGGCTCTTGAAAATCGCGAGCTGCTCGTCCTGGTCCTCCTTGGTGAGCTCGCCGCAACGCCCAACGATGTTGGGCTGCGCGGAGCTGGCGGCGCGCGAGCTGTCTTCTGGCGGTTCGTCCATTCCGCCGCCGAAGCCGAACACGTCCTCCTCCTGGGACAACTCGGCTGGCGGCTGGGAAAACGCCGAAGCGGCCGCGGCGGCTGGCGGAGCGCTGGCCGCGCCTGGAACGAACCCTGAAACGTTGCCGACAGCGGAGACAACGCGCGCAGGGCCATCGCCGAAGATAGGAGCAATATGGACAGTCGCAATAGTGGGCACGTCAAGGCCCGCGACCACATTGCTCATGTACCCAATCGACCAAGCCATCTTTTCGGCGTAGTCTGAGGGGGGCGGGCGGATGGCTGGCGACGTCGTGTCCCGCACTTCGCTGACGAAGAGGTCGGGGCTCCTGGGGTTGGGCCACGGCATGAACTCTGCACCATCCTGCAGGTTGGCGGATGCCACGCGCCAATGCACGCCGAAGTCCGTCACCACGATGACGTGCGCCCTGGCGAGGATGGCGTTGAAGTCCTCCTCTGTCCTGACATCCTCCAGAGACGGCGCGATGATACGCTTGAGCAGGTCGAGGCCGTACTTGTTTGGCGTCGCGGCATCCAGCGCCGCCTTCTCCGCGTCGCGGTCGTAGGGGTTCGCGACGGCCTGTCTGCGCGACCCTTGCTCGAAAGCGCAGCCGCCCCACCGAGCCCACAGCAGAGCGCCCTCTTCCTTGGGGTTCAAGAAAGCCTTGAGCACATCAGCGGATACCTTCAAGCGGCCAAGCGTTCGCCCGATCACCAACGCCACCGCGACTTCCACTTGGGAGGGCGATGCGGTGGGAAGAACCGCAGTCCCCCTGGAAGCCGCGGGCGGCAATGGCGTGGGCCACGCCAGGCCACCGAACCTTCTGAAGCAGGCCGTCGTCGAAAATGCCAGGGAGGATCTCCGTCGTCGGCTCGCCCTTGAAGAAATCCATATGCTTCACCGTCAGGAAAGCGATCTCATCGGCGGTGCCCTTCTTCTGTATGCTGTACGCCGAATGAACCCAAGCAAGCGTCTCCGAACCGTTGCTCTTGCCAACTCTGGACTTCCCGACCCGCGGCACCCCGTGCATGTGGAGCGTGCCAATCATCAGGCGGAGGACGCCATTGAGGAACCAGCCAGAGAAGTCCTCCAGCGTCAAACTCCAGCGCGAGATCGGTTTGGCATTCGCCCTGCCCTTCTGGTAATTGCGCAGCGCAGTCTCCACCTTGGACGCAGGCCATCCGAATATCTTCGAACCCTCCCTGTTGACCTCTGTGTCAGCCCATTCCATGAACTGGTTTCTGTTATTGCTGCGGGGGCCGTGTTCACGGATGAACGTGTAACCCTGCGCGCGCTCGTCCTCCTCTAGCGGCTGCTTCCGCTCGTGCTGCGGCTTGATCGTGAAGTACCTTGCGGTGGAGGCGCTGGATAGGCATACATACGGTGAGAAGCCCAGGGGGTCCCGATCGCTGGGTCGCCACAGATAGGGCGCCCAACTCGTTTTGAAACACGGGGTGGGGGAATGCCCCTGAGCTGGGGCGGGCAGGCGGGGGATCTTTATCCGAGCGCGCCCGCCGTATTTGATTGCCCTCGAGCTTCTCCGGCACGAACTGGAACGCGATCGACCCCGCCCGAAAGTTTTTGCCGTAGTCGATTTTGTGGGCCTCTCCGCGAGCACACTTGAGGATGGTCGCAGAATCGACTCTGATTTTATCGAAAGAAACAACCTTGAGGATGCGGTATGCCGAACACTCGCTGTCCTCTGGCTTCTGGCGAACGATGAAGATCTGCATCGTGTGCGGGACGACGGGCTCCTGCTTGAGCGACAGCGGCTCCTGCAAGTCCTTGAACCTACCCTGCGCGCACAACTCGTGCACCTTGTCGAAGTCAATCGGGCCCTCGTAGTTGGATACCATGTCGGCGAAAGCGACCAACTTCGTGGCACTCGAACTCGCGATCGGTAGCAGAGGAAGGCCGAAGATAGAAAGGTCACCAGCGAAAGCCAACGTGTCTTTCTTGACGCACTTCGAGGGGTGGTAGTCTAACTTGCTACCGCTGACCACCAACGACGCCTCCTCAAAGGTGAGCTTGCCGTCTCCCTCGGCGTCGTACGCAACCTGCCCCAGCGACTGCACCTGAGCAGCAGGGGCGCTCGCCATGATTCGTGGCGAGAGAAAGGCGGGTCGGGCGGTGGCCTTGGACGACGGGCAACAGCGCGCAAGCGTTGATCATAGACGGCTGCGGATGCCAGCTGAGCACCTGGGGAGGGAACGACGACGACGAACGATGCACACTGAAGATGGAAGTAAGAAGCAAGAGAGCGTGGGCACGACGACGATGAGTCAAAGATGTGGCACGGCTGCGGCGGGGACAATCAACGCGACGTCAATCACGCGCACTCGGGAACACATGCGCGCTGTATATATATGTAGAAAAAAAAACCCTCGACCTCGGCACTCCGTAATAAAAACACACCCCTCGACATCGGCACTCAGTGCGCCGCGTCCATGACCTCCCGGATGGCATCCGCGGTGGCCGCCCACATATCCTTGCCCTTGTTCCAGTACTCGAACTGGGCCGAGCGAACCGAAGCCGCGAGACGCCTGCTGCCTGGGAGGTCCGCGCGCGTGCCAATGAGGGTTTTGATAGACCTCCGGGCGCGGTCGATGATCTGCGCCCCTGCCTTTACCCTGATCTTGGAGCCGTCGGGCAACATGTAGGTGACAACCTTCGAGTAAACTGGCTTCAACCAAACCCACTTCCTGCCGATCTTCTTCCGCTTCTTGCAGTGCACGACGTGGTCGCGCGCGAGCCCCGACGCGCGCATCTTGTAGCTGCGGGCCCCGTCAGAGTGCAAGATGACCTTCCTTTTCTCTAAGCGGCTTTTTAGGAACGGCGCCCAATCCGTCTTCTTGATAGCGCCTGGGCCTGGCGCGTTGGCCTCGGTGCCGTCTGACTGGGCCTTCCACAGAACGAGGCTATCAGGGCGCCCGCGCTCGACGACGCCCGCCCACTGTTCCCGCGTCTTGGAACGACCGTCGTCGGACAGCTGGGCGCGGAAGACCGACTCATCCGCCTCCACGTCGAACCAGCGCCGCTGAGCTTCGTCGTCGAAGACAATGTTGGGTTCGTTCTTTTCCACGTAGATCTGCCGCACGGCTGCCACGGCCGCGCTCATGTCCTCGATCATCTTGTGGTTGGCACCTGTCAGCAAGTGTATGTGGGCGGTGGTCATGCCGAGCGTGAGGCAGAAGAGGACCTTGGCCTTCGTCGACAAACTCGACGATTGGCAACCCCCGCCAGACTTGAAGACGGGGTGGGCGGTGCACGGGTTGACGGTCTTGCCGCACAGCCTACCGCTGTTGCATCGCCAATGCGGGCCGCGATTGTCATCACGCACCCGCGCGCCGCAGGTTCCGACGCCGCAGTGAGGGCAGGCGCGGCCTTCCCAGTCAAGCAGGACGCCATCCTCGAGGAGCAGGTCTACCATCTGGTCCGCAGTTGCCCCGTGGAAGCTGTCGTAGTTGCGGCACCAAATTTCGCGCTCCTTGCGGGATTTCACGGTCTTCTTCCCGTGGCGCACGTACTCGACCTTCTCCGCTTGCTTCCTGCGCTGGCCCATCCTGCCCTTGCCCCTCTTGCGCAAGGGGAACGGCCTGAAAGCACTCGCAGGCCGCTTCTTCGGCGCGGAGGCGGCAGCAGGGCGTTTGATAGCACGCTTTCCCATCGCCGACGGTGGCAGAACGGTGGCCCAGACGGTCGGTTGAGAAAAACGCACTGAGCCAAAATGTGCTGCGGGTGGGACTGGGGCCCTCCTTGTCTGGAGGTTCGTCGGCTTCCTCTGGTCGTGGCGGTGGCGCTGTCGGTAGTTATGGTAGGGGTGGTTGTATTAGCAACAGTAGTAGTGGTGGTGGTAGTACTAGTCGTCGTAGAGCTGTAGCAACAGTAGTAGTGGTGGTAGTAGTACTAGTCGCCGTAGAGCTGTAGCAGCAGTAGTTGCAATAGAAATTGTAGTGGTAGTCGTAGTAGAAGAACAAAATCCCTACGACGCCCGTATCAGATAGGGCATCCTAAATTCAGGATGCCCTTTTTGTGCAGCAATGCGCCTGTTCACGTTAGACTGAATATGCTTGTCGGCGGCTCCATCGTCGCCTGATTTTCTGGGTGGGTGGTTCGTCCTGTTGTCTTGGTGTCATCATTGCACCGCTTTTCCTACGACGCCCGTATCAGAGAGGGCATCCTAAAATCAGGACGCCCTTTTTGTGCAGCAATGCGCCTGTTCACGTTAGACTGAACATGCTTGTCGGCGGCTCCATCGTCGCCTGATTTTCTGGGTGTGTGGTTCGTCCTGTTGTCTTGATGTCATCATTGCACCGCTTTTCCTACGACGCCCGTATCAGAGAGGGCATCCTAAAATCAGGACGCCCTTTTCTGTGCAGCAATGCGCCTGTTCACGTTAGACTGAACATGCTTGTCGGCGGCTCCATCGTCGCCTGCTTTTCTGGGTGGGTGGTTCGTCCTGTTGTCTTGATGTCATCGTTGCACCGCTTTTCCTACGACGCCCGCATCGGAGAGGGCATCCTAAAATCAGGATGCCCTTTTTGTGCAGCAATGCGCCTGTTCACGTTAGACTGAACATGCTAGTCGGCGGCTCCATCGTCGCCTGCTTTTCTGGGCGGGCGGTTCGTCCTGTTGTCTTGATGTCATCATTGCACCGCTTTTCCTGCGCGGCATACTGCCTGGCAGAAGCGCGTTCCGCCCTCCATTCCCCCTGGCCCGCCTCCTCCTCATCCTCCTCCGCCTCCTCCTCCTCCTCCTCGGTCGGCCCCCTGCTTTGCCTCTGGTCGTGCTCCCCGCCGCGCCGTGCCTCTCTTTTCCCGTCAGCGAGCGAAGCGTTCTTTGGCCTCGCGGCGGGCTCCTGCTTTGCCCAGTTGTCCTGAGAAAAGCGAAGGATGGCCCTCAAGTGAGTGACCCTCCAAGTCGCCCAGTCCCTCAGAAGCTTCGTCGCCTTCGGCGGCAGCTCCTGGTCGCACACGCGCGAGAAAACCTCGAACCAGGACTTCCAGGCCTTGGGGGCCTTCGCGTCTGCAGCTCCCTTCGCCTGTGCGTTCCCCTCGGCCGTGTTGCTCTCGGCCAGCTCCCTCGTCAGTTTCCGCACTCGCTCCTGCGCGGGCGAGGCAGCAAGGCGCCCGAACAGACGGGGGGGATTTCGGTGGCGTGGGCTTGCTCGAGTTGCGTTTGCTTCGTGCTTGGTGCTCTTTGCTGGCGTTGGTCGTTGCGGTTGTCGTTGCGGTTGCGGTCGTTGCGGTTGCGGTCGTTGCGGTTGCTGCCGTTGCGGTTCCGTCTTTTGCGGTTGCGGGCAGGGTGGTGGTGGTGGTGGAATTTCAAAACGTCGTGTCCCGAAGCTGCTCGTTGGACCACGCACGCTTCTCGGCGAGCTCCCAGTTGTCCGCCGCCTCGCCCTGGCACCAATCAACCTGAGCATGAGCAGGCGGGACAATGCGTTTATATGTTTGGAGATGTTTGAAGCGCAAAGAGGAGGATAGATCGCAGCCTGCTCTTCCAGGTCCGCGATCTTCTTCAACAGCGGCCTCTGGAATCGCATCTTGAGCTTGTGCTTCGCCGCTTTGGCCTTGTCTTTTTTGACTCTGGCCTTGTACGCGCGGTTGTTCTCGAGCTTGCGGTCGTACTGTTCCGTGCCGTGTTCGGGGTTGCCCATGGTTTCCCAGCGGGGCGCTGGCTAAGCGAAGCAACGGCCTTGAACACGCGTGTGCTGCACGAAACAAAAAAGAGAAGGAGAACGAGTGAAGAAGGAGGAAGAGGAGGATGAAAAGGAGGGGGAGGAGGACAATGGGGAGGAGGAAGAGGAGGAGGAGGAGGAGGAGGAGGAGGAGGAGGAAGAGGAGGAGGAAGAGGAGGGGGAAGAGGAGAGGGAGAAGGGGGAGGAGGAGGAGGACGAGGAGGAGGAGGAGGGGAGGGGGGAGGGAAGCAGGAGGAGGAGGAGGGGAAGGAAGAGGGGGGGGAGGAGGAGGAGGAGGAGGAAGAGGAGGAGGAGCAGGAGGAGGAGGAGGAGAGAGAGGGACATCAGGAACATGAGGAGGACGCAGAAATTGGATGCAGAGGTTGAGGAATAGAAATGGGTTGCAATCCATTGAACTGCATCCGTTTGGATTGCAATCAAATGGGTTTCGACTGCCAGCGCACCAACACATCATGAAGAAGAGCATGATGAGGGAACGGCGAGGAACACTGGAGAGATGAAAGGAGAATGTGTATGATCATGTGGGGGGGGCGAGCATATATATATATATATATATATATATATATATATATACAATGTATACATACATACATGCATGCATGAATGCATGTATACACACATACATGCATGCATGCATACATACATACACTGCAATCCACTACATTACATCACATTGCACTACATTAAAACATATTACCGTATCTGACCCTACCTTACCTTACCTTACCTTACCTTACCTTACCTTACCTTACCTTACCTTACCTTACATGCATACATACATGTATGCATACACACATACAAACAGGTACATACAGACATGTGTACGTACATACAGAATCGCATGCATGCGTACAAGCATACATGAATACATGCACACATGCATTCGTGCATGCATACATGCATGCATACATGCATACATACACACTGTTTGGGCGTCGCGGCCTTGCGTACAGCGTCGAGGCGTAGAAGGTCGGAAAGCGGAGTGACGCGCGCGCGGCTGGCCCACCCAGAAGCTGGGGGCAAGGATCTACCCGAGGGGATCAACCGTGCCAAGCGCACACCAGGGCGTGGGCTGCGGTGGGGAGACGAAGGGAGCGAGGCTGTGCCAAAATGCCAGCACCGACAGTATGCACGGGTGGAGCAAGGCGAGGCGCAGTGACGGCACAGGCGTGTCCGAAAGGAGCGAGCAGCAAGGCAGAGCAGGACACACACACACACACTGTTTGCAATGCGGCCGCGCACCCAGCGACGCAGCGAGTCAGTCAGCAAAGGGCCCAGGCAATGCGGCCGAGACCTCAGAAGAGCGGCTGGGGACTCACGCAGCACCCAGCGGGGAGCACAGCGCTGACCCATACGGAACCTCGCCGGCGCGCCTCGGAGGGGCACTGGGGCAGAGGGGACGAGCGGGGAAACTACCATGAAGGGGCCCTGGGACACACAAATAAATACACACAATAAAAAGATTCCCCCATGTGTTTGTTATATCTTCTGGGTTTCTCTCTTCCCCCCCACTTCCCATATTTTCCGATACTTTCCTGGGAGTGGACGATGAATTGTGTCTGTGTGTTTCTTTCCCTCCTGATACAAAAGGTGCCAAGGCACTCCAGAGTCCTCCCTCTTTGCCTCCTCCTTTTTTTCCTCCCTCTTTGCCCGCGCACTCCAGAGTCCAAGGCTGTGGGCGCATCGCAGCGCGGAGTCGCCGCGACGTGCGCTGCTCGCCCCAGCCGCGACGCGCGCTGGTCGCGCGCTGGTAATTCTGTGAAACCGAGTTCCCTGGCGAGGGCCGCCGCCTCCCTCCTGCACCGCTTCGTGCGCGCACACTCAGGGGGATGAAAGAGAGCAGAGAGGACAGCGTGCGAGGACGAGCCCTGGCGGAGAGGCAGGCGGCGGCAGGCCGAGCGGCCGACAGGTGGGCACGGGAGGGGGAGGGCCAGCTGGGGCGATTTTCCCATGCAGGATGCACAATTATAGAAATGACGTCCCTGAAGGGGAACTGGAACACACAAATAAATAGACACAAATAACCAGATTCCCCATATTTTCCATATGTTCTGGGTGTCAGTCTTCCCCCCCACTTCCCATAGTTTCACATCTTTTCTTAGGAATCGACGATTAATTGTGTCTGTGTGTTTTTCCCCCTCCTGAATCCCTCCCATCCCCTCAAGAACCCCAACAGTGTCACAGGCCGCGGTCGCATGCACTCACCTGCTCATCTTGGCGCACCCCTCACGCACTTCGTGCATCGTGCGGAGGCCCCAGCTTCGGCGCCGGTTGGCGCGGTCGGCGCGGTCGCATGTGTTCAGCTGCGCATTGAGGCAGGCACACCTCTCACAAATGGCGTGACCCACAGGGAGCCCAAACTTCGACCCAGGGTTGCTTGCTTCGCCAGGGCAAGCTGCTGCTCGCAGAAAGCAATGGTGTAATGCTGCTGCTGCTGCTGCTGCTGCTGCTGCTACTGCTCGCCGAGTCGGCTGACGTCACGTCTCTCCAGAACGCGCCTCTTCGAAAACTCGCTTCCAGGGCATTCGAAACGATCTCGTCGCCCACGCGGGAGGTCGCGGGCTGCTTCACGGCCGGTGCTGGGCCTGCAGGGTCGTCCTCGCTCGCAAACCCTGCCCACGAAACATCGGCGCTCTCGCGCAAACGGCTTCTGGACTTCCCTTGCCCCAGAAAGCACCCGTCCCAGCCGATGCGAAGGCGTGTCAGGAGGAGGAGGAGGAGGAGGAGGAGGAGGAGGAGGAGGAGGAGGAGGAGGAGGAGTGAGGAAGAAGGAAAAGGAGGAGGAGGAGGAGGAAGAGGAGGAGGAGTAAGGAGGAGGAGGAGGAGGAGGAGGAGGAGGAGGAGGGGAAGGAGGAGGAGTCCCGATCCAGCTGGCCCCGGTGCCTCCCGAGGCGCGAGGGGCGCTCCGGCGGTCGAGAGAGCCCGAGCGGGCGCCCCCTGCCCCCCACTGGACTGCCTGCTCAGCGGCTGCCTTGCCAGACCACCCCGGCCCACCCCGAAGGCCCGAAGTTCCGCCCGGATTTCGGGTCCTCCTCCTCCTCCTCCTCCGCGCGCCTCCTCCTCCGCCTTCGCCTCCGCCTCAGCCTCCGCCTCCGCCTCCGCCGGTCGGGAGGGGGGTGCGGGCTGCACACGGTGGGGGCATTGAATAAGGAAGCACTGGATAAAGAATCCAGGGCCTGGAAGCCAGTGGAACTCCAATCGCGGCTTGGCAGTGGACATTGCCGCCGCCCTCATCAGATAGGGAACCTTCCAGGGTCTGAAGCCCCCCGGACACATTCCTTAACCAACGCCCACACCGTATGTGTTTTTATGAATTCCCTTCAATACGGTGGAGGTCTTAGATAAGGATACCTTCGGTAAGGAGCCTAGGGTCTCGCGACCGATGGGCGGCCAGACGTGGACCGCCCACCTCGCCCTGAAGCAGGAAGGAGAGCGCCAGGGTCTGGGCCTCAGGAAGACGTTCCTTATCCAATGCCGCCACCGTATGTGTTTTGATGAATTCAGCGGTGGACAAACCTCCTTTTAGTAGCACCATTTAATGAAAGCGGCCTGGGCCCGAAAGCGACGGACCTGGACCCGAAAAACGACGGCCGCGACGCCCTCTCGCGAACCGAAAACGGCCCATTCGCTAATCGACGTGCCAGGGTAGGAGGTCTGTCCACCCCCGATTGAGGTTCCCCGACCCCCCCCACACTGGAAACGGAGGGCAAGTCGGGGCCTTCGGGTTGGGTTAGGGGTGGTTTGGTGGGCGGTGGATCAGCGGTCCGCGATCCATGGTCCAGCCCCTTGCATGCTCATTCTGGGAGAAGAGGTGGATCTGGGGCCGGTCCCGGTGTTCCCGGCGGTCCCGGCGTTCCCGGCGTTCCCGGCGTTCCCGGCGTTCCCGGCGTTCCCGGCGTTCCCGGCCGGCGTTCCCGGCTGGCGCTTCCAAGGTTCCCGGCCGGCCTCCCGGCGTGCCCGGCGTTCCCGGCGTTCCCGGCCGGCGTTCCCGGCCGGTACTCGCGGGGTTCCCGGCCGGCGCTCCCGGCGCTCCCTGCGTTCCCGGCGTTCCCGGCCGGCCCGGCGTTCCCGGCCTGCCCGACAGGCCCGGCCGGCCGGGCCTGTCTGGCCTTCCCCGGCCTTCCCGGTGTTCCCGGCCTTCCTGGCCTGCCTGGCCTTCCCGGCCCGCCGGGCGTTCCCGGCCTTCCCGGCGTTGTCGCCCTCCTCCTCCTTTTCCTCCTCCTCCTCCCTCTCCTCCTCCTCCTCCTCCTCCTCCTCCTCCTCCTCCTCCTCCTCCTCCTCCTCCTCCTCCTGTTATTATTGTTTTTCTTCCTCCTCCTCCTCCTCGTCGTCCTCCTCCTCCTCCTCATCCTCCTCCTTCTCCTCCTCCTTTTCCTCCTCCTTCTCCTCATCATCCACCCATTCCTCGCCCTCCCTCGTCCATCCTCCCCCTCCCCCACATCCTCCTCCTCCTCGTCCTCCTGCACTTTCCCTTCCTCCTCCTCCTCCTCCTCCTCCTCCTCGTCGTCCTCCTCCTCCTCCTCCTCCTCATCCTCCTCTGCGTCCTCCTCCATCGTCCCCTCTTGGGGCATGATGGCTCCCCCTGCCATTTGTTCCTCTGTGTGCTCCCCCCACTTCGCTGATCAAGGGAACTCGTCTGGGCATCGTGTCTGGATGGGCTGGTGGGGTTACGCGAAGGGTCAAGAATTTGGTCGAGGCGTGGGCCCCCGGAGTGTGGGAGAACTGCCCAAGGGGCCGTTTTTTCGTCCAGAGACGTTTTGTGACAGTCCTGGGCCCTGGTATCGGCGTCCGGAGGCCGACGAAGTGCGCAAAACGTGCCGCACCAATGCTGTCGAAGCCTCGGATGTCTGGGTTCCCGGCCTGCCTGGACGTCCCGGCCTGCCCGGCCGCCCCGGCTTGCCGGGCCTGCCTGGGCACTCTCGGTTTTGCCGGGAGGTCCTGGCGGGCAGCCTGCCCAA